GTAATAATAATTAAAAAAAAAAAAAAAAAAAGAGAGAGACCAAAAAAAAAAGGGGGGGTTGGGATTTCTATGCTTTGCTTCTGCTTGCAGTTCAGAGTTTGTGGTGTTTTCCTGGATAAAGCTGCTTGCAGAGTGGCTGACCATGGAAGTATGAGACTTGTGCTTGGGCACTGCTTAACATGTGTTTTAAGAGAGAGAAATATACTGATTTGTGTGCTTGGTTTCCAGGAACTAAGCGTTCAGCTGCTCCGAAGAGAGAAGATGCCGCCCAGAGGTATCGCTGCTGCTTGCACAGTAGAAGTGTAGCCCTGCGTGGGGGGCCCTGCGTCCCCGCTCCTCATCAGCGGGATGGCTGGTTGGGGTGACAGAGCAGGCCTGCGGCACGGCTTCGTGCACGCGAGAATGCCCACGTTCTCCCCGTTGCATCTCTAGGTGTAGCAGAAGTTATTATCTCCACCTGCAGAGCTCTCTGCATTTATTCATTTGCCCTTGTTTTGTTTTTAAAGTGTCACACGCACAACAAGCCTGCTGATATAGCTGGTTATCCTTTTTGGCAATAGTGTATTTGATTACTGAATAGGATTCTCTTCTCCCATTTGAGACTTGTGCTTCGTTCTTCTGCGGTCTTTTGCCAATAAGAGTCAATGCTTTTTCTGACTCTAAGGAAGATGAAAGTAAATCAAGGTTGGAAACTCGTTTGGTGGATGTGGAAATTACAAAATTACTCGACAAATTACTTGTTGCTTTGTTAGGCCACCATGGTGAAATGCAGAAGAATATAAGTTGCTGTATTTCAGAAAAAGAAACAGATATGGGGGCAAATTGTTTGCAGGAATCTCTTGTCACACATTCAGTGTCTGTTTTGTTACAGGAAAGCAGCTCTGGAGGCTGCTATTAGAAAGAAAATTGAATTTGAGAAAAAAGCACTATATATTGTTGAACAACTGCTAGAAGAGAACATTACTGAAGAGTTCCTTGTGAATTCTGTAAGTGCTGCAAGTTTCCATACTATTTTCTATCTTAGTGTTTAACTTTTTAAAAGTGCTCGGAACAATTTTCTGCAGCTTAGATCCCTTCAGATCTGATGGCAATTATCTTACTTTCAGCATCTTTGCACTAAAAATCTGCCCGCTTTTTGAACTCATTCACACACTTATGAATCCTTACCTTATTACTGCTGTTTTCATTTATGCCCCTTGAGCTCCAGGCTGACAGGTGCAGTACTAAAATGGTAGGTCCAGATCACGCGCCCTGTGAATTTACAGAAACTTGCTGCAGTGCTGCTGTGCTGTTTGCCCTGAAGTTTATCCATCAGCATAGTTTTGCTAGCACTGTATGAGGATTATTCCTGCAGGGATTATTCCTGAAGTGAAGCTCTGAAGAGGTATATGTTTCAGTTTTGGTGTATATGTATTATCTAGCTTAATTTTCAGTGGCCACTTTGCAAAAGGTATGCAGAGTGAAAGCTCTCACCACAGGAGGAGAATGATGACCACTTATGGTGAATTTAGTCAAGAATTAGTTGTATGATCCAGACCCAATAGTTTCATCTGGCCAAAGCTGAGAGATCAAGCTCAGCTTGGATGACTCCGCTGTGCAGTGGAAATTGAAGTGGAAAGTCACAAATAGCTGATCTTATATTGCCTACTGATGAAGTATTTTCTTGTCATTTTAGGGCAAACTTATTACACCATCTCACTATAAAGACATTGTTGATGAACGTTCTATCATCAAGCTATGTGGTTATCCTCTGTGTCAAAACAAACTGGAAAACGTAAGTTACATTTTATCAATGCTCTTATAAAAACGCTGTTATCTCTTCAGTTTTAAACACAGAATAAAATGTTATTAAGTAGTGGGCCAGTGGTCCCATAACTCTGTTTTAGCATTGTCTTGCTGAAGTGAAACATTAAACCTGAGCAGTTGACAATTGTTGCTTTATGACAGAATCCCACGGCATCTATTTTGACAGTAATAAACATGAATGGGGAGCAGCTTCATTGCCTCCTTTGTGCATGCAACAACTTTCTACATTGGAAACTTCCTAATGTAGTTCCTTCTTCAGCGATACCACATTATCTCTGTGAGAAGAGAGGCTGAAGTGGAAAAAAAAAAAAAACACAAGGCAGGAATATTACTCTATGCCTGGTCTAAAAGTACGTGTCATCTGTGTAAAGATCATAGTCACACTTAAATATGGTGTTTTAGTGCTTGCTTAAGCAGAATGTGAAGATCCGTTGCAAGTAAGCTGTGGTGTGGTTCCAACTGTGGTATTCCTGATAATCTGAAAAAATCTGTTTAAGTAGAAAAGTTCATTCCTTTGTCCCTACAGAAGTTCTTTTGGCAACTATATTATATTTTATTTAAGTTCCTCTTTGTGTTTATGTTGGGGGGACTGTTTCTAGACAATAGAGTCTTACAGGCCCATAGATAGAGTATGGTTAAAAAGGGGTACATACGTAATTGTCCAGTGCTTAAACATGTGTAAAAAATTTCCTAATGGTACTTCGATTGGTGTACTTTCAGAACAGGGGGTCTTCTAGCTCTGAAATTGTTTTCTGTTGATAGCTAAATGTAAATGATTGAGGTACATCAATCTCTTACATCAGAGGAGGTAATACCGAGAGAATTTAGAGATTAGTTGGAGAACATCATTCATTTTTAAAACATGTATTAAAAATTGAGTTTTCTGTAAAGTCGTGGTAATTGCAGTGGTGGTGATGAGGGTGTATCGTTTTAGGTGCCAAAACAGAAGTACAAGATTTCCATGAAAACAAACAGAGTTTATGATATTACTGAAAGAAAGGTACAGTAACAAGCTATTTCTAAAATATATCTAGTAGTTTCTGAAGACCTGAAACATGGAAATACATTCTGTAAGAGTGTTCGTACAGATGCTTGACTTGGAGCTACAAAGTTCTTACTAACATCTGGTTAATGGCCAGAATGTGAAGCTCCTAGATAGTGTCTTGGTTTCTGGCTGCTCTCTCTATGGCAAGGAAAAGCTGTCATCTTCCTTTCTAAATGTAAGCATACTTGCTTTCCCAAGTTATCAAGCGTGACTCTGAAAAGAATTGGGATATTTTGTTTTGTTCCCTGCTGCAAGTGTCCCAGCTAACTTCTCAAAGGTGCTGCAAAATATTAGGTGTTATTCTGAAGTATTGAAGACAAAAAAAAAAATCAGTTCTATGCTGCCCAAAATGCATATTACAGATAGCATACTTTAAACAGTATGGCCTACTTTTTGGGTAAAAGATTGCTTTTGAATCTTTATTTATTTTAGTTTTTATTTCTTTAAAACTTGGTACTGGTTTGGTTCTCAGTATATAATGAAAGTGGAAAAAGAGCAGGGGAAGAAAAAGCTGCAAGTGGTTTGTGGGGAATGGTGTGGAGTTATTTGTTAAATTTAAATTGTCATGATGTATTAAAAGCCTAGAGGAAGACCTAAAAATAATGAATTGGCACCTGAATTTTACCGGTATTAGAAATATGAATTGTGTACCTTTCTTTGAATATTAAAGATGTCTTTTGTTGCATTTTGTCTGACTTATCTCTCTTGTTCCCAGTGTTTTTGCAGTAACTTTTGCTATAGAGCATCTAAGTATTTTGAAGCTCAAATTTCCAAAAGTCCAGTGTGGATGCGAGAAGAAGAAAAGCAAGTATAACTTTTCTATCCAAGCTACAGTGCTAATTAATTGGCTATGATGCAGAATGGTTAGGCTGAAGTAGAGCTAACTGATGTTACCTGTTGCTAACCTGTTAGTTTAACATGGTGTTCATTTTAAAAGGTTTGTTACCATATTAATTAGTATATTGGTACGAATCAATATTATTTTGACTACTTAATAGATATGACTATACAAGCTTAGAGGGTGGAAGAGTCACTGATAATAATCAATTGATATTAATAAAAAAGTGTATTTGATAGGACTGAATTTTTACAAGCCAGATGGTGTACAGGATTCATTTATTTTTATCCTGTTACAAGAGAGCTTCTAATTTTAGGAGAATGCTAGGCATGTTCTTCAAATTAGGTCCTGAATGCTTGCACCTGAAAATAGACTGTATCATCAAGAGGTGTTTTTAGCCTTTTTACTCAGGATTAAAAGAAAATGTCACATTGCCCATTTTCTGCTCTAACTACTTAAACAAGTGTTTTGCAGAGTTCCCATTTTGATGAGTTGAGTAGCTTAGGAAAGAAAGGCTTGCAAGTAATGAAGTGCACCACTGGGTGACACTGTTTAACAAAAAAACACTTGCATAGAGACCATGCAATTGAGTACATTCAAGTTTCTTTCTGCAAAGCACTCCTTGTAATCTTATGGTTTTCAACAAAAGAAACAAGCAGAAACTAAGTCTGTGAGCTCTTGTAAGCATTTTCATAGCTCCCATCAGTCATGAAATATCTGACCAATGAGACAAGAGGTTTAGAGCAGACTGGTCTCATTTAAGGAGATTCTAGTAGGTAAAATCAATCTCTTAATGAAATGTTGAGGGACATTTACCGGTAACTTGATGATATTGTTATGCCTTTTTTTTATTTATTTAAATTATTTTTTATTAAATGGAATATTTACAAATTCTGTCTTTATTGTTAACATCACAAGCATAAATTTGTGATACACCTGTGGTACATTATTACCCTTTCATCCTCTTCTCTCCAGATAGTGCATGGCTTCACTGAAGATAAGTTATTTAGTGTTAATAATTTAAATCATTTTAGGTTGCCACCTGTATTTTCCAGGCTTGGTTCTTTCACGTGAATGGTGCAGCTTGCATCTTTTTAAAAGTATGCTTTGTACTGTCCAAGCTTAAGGTGTTACTACATTGGCCTGCGTTTGCCACATGTTTAAAGGGTTTTCTTTCATTCATGAGAAGGACTGATGAGGGTATAAACTTTAGGCGTTTGGGTCTAAATCTCTTTGGGTGACTGTGACTTGCTGATACTATTCAGTGTTGCTCGGTGTAGCAGCATTGTGTTGCAAACACATGAGAGTCATGCTCTGTGAATGAATACAAATGAGCCTGTTCTGTTTGAGTGAGTGGCTGATGTTGGACTAGATTTTCAAATGTCCCTTCTAACCTCACCTGTTCTGTGATTCTCTATACTGATATGTATTCCAAGAGAATGTAGGAGAAAATCTTTAACTCCATTTCTTCTCTTTGCAGACCACCGGACATAGAGCTGCTGAGAGAGGGCCAGAGGTATACTCAACAACCATTTTGTTGTTCTTGTTCTTATATGCATTTATAGCTAGAAATACTAGCGTCACAACAGGTAAAAGTGAAATCTTTGATTTCCTGTGTTATATAAAAGCTAAACAAGACAAGTAATCCTTTGTGTAGACTCTGCACAAGGATTATTTGTCTTGTTTAGCTTTTTCCTTTGTGATTCTAAAACAACATATTTGATCTGTGTGATTTAGCATACAGCTGCTCTTGACCTGTATATCTTAACTGAGCCTGTTGAAACCTAAAACAAATACACTGTTTGTGCTTGGCATATTCTACACCATTTATTCTTTACAAACAAAATGGTACCAATTATATGTGTTGAAAGCTTCTGTACTTCTTGATAGAAAACATCTGTATCGGCTAAATGGAAGTCATGCAACTCTGTCATCTCTCAGTATAGTGCTGTACATTGTGATTTTGTTTGTTTTGTTTTGTTTTGCAGAAGATGGCCATTAGAGGGCAAGCTTGCACATGCTTAAAACAGGCCCTGCTGTCTCCCTAATTTTAGAGAATTAGGTTTATACATATACACAAACATACATGCAAATATATATATATGAGAAAAAAATATATATATGAAACCTATCTTCATTTTAAATTGTAATATATTAAAATTCATCATGGTAAGTCTGATCATGTTCTGTTTTCTTTAAAATCTTATTTCCTATTCCTTTTTAACTGCTAATAAGGAACTGGGAACTTTCTTATCTAAACAGTATATATTTGTGCCATCTTAATTGCAGAACCTTACAACTCTTTGACTTAGAGGTCTTTTAGAAGAGAAACCATGATTCTTTAAAGTAAAACTTTTAGTATCAGTGGAAAATGCGTTCCTAAGCTTAATTATGTAATATTGAAAAGCTGTTATAGCTAATATCCATTTCTTATTTCATCTATATCTTGTGTTTTCTGTTACAGTGGTCAGACTGGAGAAGAGGTGAAACTATGTGATGAAGTAATTAAAGCTTCTGACATTGAAAATCCTAGCGCATCTTCAGACCCACATGAATCTGGTTTTGCTGGCAATGTCAGTGACAGTAGCAGTGATACTGAACAAGACTTTGTTTCCTCTGTTCTACAAGGAAGTCAGTCAAGTTCAGCCCATCTTGCACAACAACTGCACAGAAAAAGCATCCCCCAAAAGAAACATCTTCAGAAAGTGTATTCCAGCCTTAAAAAAGAAGACTTGGATGTGGTAGAAGCCACTGAGCAACTATCTAGGTGTAAATTAGATGCTCAGGAAGAAATGCATGCTTGTTCTGTTCAAAATAAAGTAACTGTAAATCCTTCAGAAAATACTATTCCTGGAAAATCAAACACTGCAAAAAACGATGAAAATACCTGTAGTGATTCACAGATAGTTTTTTTGAGTGTGAGCAAAAAAGGGGAAGAACATCTTAAAAGAATGCTAGCTAAGTATGAGCTGAGGGATCCAGTTAATTCCTTGTCTGCCAAAGGCAATCTATTAGAAGTAATTAAGCAAACACTTCTGGAATGGAGAACTGAAGAAACGTTAAAATTTCTCTATGGTTCAAACTACGCTTCTTTGTACTCATCAGAACGTACATCCGCTGCCAACCAAGAGAACGAAGAGCTTGATGAGGATGACTTAGATGAACCTGATGATCTTAATGTTGCTGCAGGGGGGTCTGAAAACAGTTTGAATCAGTCGTTACCATTTAGAGGCAGGGGTGGAATTAAGCCTCTGCCTAGTTACGAAAAGTTAAAAGAAGAAACTGAATTTCTGGAACTTCGAGTAAAAGAGTTCTATAAAGGAAAGTGCGTCTTGGCTGAGGAGGCAGTGACACAGGCACAGATAGAGGAGCATCACCACGAAGATAAAGTAAGTGTCCAGTGGAGAAGTGTCCAGGCTGCTTAAAGTCTGCCTCCAAAGAATTAGACAAGGACTTTGTTTTCTCTCTGTAAGTGGCTACTGGCCTAGGTTATGACAAGCTGTTAATTAAAAATATAAAAGAAGGGTTGTGTAGATTCACAGTAATCCATATTTTAGGTAGCTAGGATTTTTTTTTCCCCTGGCTGTTTGACACATGCTGAGTTCTGACAGTTACCCTTCAGTTTGTGAAGCATGAAAGATTATTTTATAGCTTGAGCACAACTTGAACATGGTCTGAGGCAAGCAGAGGAAATGCTGGTAAAGTGAAATGGGAGGAGTTGAGTGGATGAATCCTGTGCAGGTTTGTAATGTGAAAGAAACTTGGTGTACAAACTAATCTCTACAGAAGGGTTAAATATATAACTTTTAACTACTGTACTGAATCCTTTCCTTTTATAAAGGCTTTCTGATGCTTCAATCTATAGCTGTTGTGCTAGTGTGCTAGTGTGCTAGTGCTAATCTATAGCTGTGTGAGGTGAAGCTGCTACAGAATCCGCTTCTAAGTGTCTGTATAGCCAACGTTTCTGTAAACTGCTGCTTCTGCCTTGCAGGGCAGGTGAGGAAGATTCCCTCAGAAAGCAATGCATTGTAAATGGAGTATATCTCAGGTGAGGGGGGGAAATTGTTTCCCCTCTTTGATACCTTAAACAAACTCTAATGATTATTTTTTCCTTTAATTCATGACAGGGTGAACTTGAACTTGGATTTCTTTCTTCCTTTCTTAAGACTACTTTTGGTTACTTATTATTAAACTTCTCAAAATTGGATCCCAGTCTTTAATTTGGCTATGTTGCTGCTATTAGATAACTTGGAAAAAAATGAGGATTTGCAGGCTACAAGACGTGTAAGCTGTGAGGTTTTATACTCATTGTTAAAATGTGACTATTTTGATGCATTGACTATAATTCACAATTAGATTACAAATGTTTGTGTTTTAATGTTGTAATACAGGATGATGAACAGGAAGATCCCACCTTCCCACTTGTTGATTCAAACGCACAAATGCAGATTAGAAAGAGGATTGTCCTTGAAAAACTGAAAAGAGCGTAAGCATTTCGTACTTTCTTAAAGATCAACCTGAAGTTGCTGCTCATTCACCATCACTTCAAGTAACAAACAGACTGTGCAGGGTTGTTCTGGCCTTTTCGAAATAGTATTGGGGATGTGATAAAGCCACTATTGCTGTAAAGAAACTGCTGATTTCTCAGACAAGCTTTTGTGATTTAGTTTCAGAGATCAGAGATCTGAGGTAGTTGTCAAAAGCTCAATACTGGTGAATTCTGTAAAAGAAACTTGTCTCTTCTTAAAACAGCTAGCCTCTTTCTTTTGAGATTTTCCTGTTGCTCCACTATTTTTAATGCAGCTGTCAGTTTATAATATGAACTGTTGCTTCTATTGCATGCTTTTTTGCATCACAGATTCATCTAAGTTTAGGAAGAACATTTTGTTTACCCATCTCATTTAAGTGTGTAGATTCCTTTTTTATTTCAATTTTTTGATGTAAATAAATATAAGTTTTTGAAATAATTGAGGTTTAGAAAGCTAATCCTTAGCATGTGAATTGATTTTTTTTTTTAAAGAATGTGTTGTCAGAACTTAAACGGGTTAAGAGAGTTAACTAATGAGTTAATAGAGTGTACCTGTTGAAAAGTGTATTTACATTCTTCTTTGCATTTGTGCTAACTAGAGCTTTTTGTTTTTATGAACAAACTGTGGTAAAGCAATTATTTTAACCAATATATTTTGCCCTCTAGATTGCCTGCAGTTTTGGGCCCTCTGCAGATTACCCTAGGTGATATTTACACAGAACTAAAGAATCTTGTCAAAACTTTCCGGTAAGTATTGGTCTTACCAATATTGGTAAGTTTTTTTTTTGGTCTTGTTTTTAAACATTTTTTTAAAATTGAATAATTACACAAGCTGTTGAGTGATTTGGGTGCAGAAAGGACCCCAGTGCAGATTTGTCATCTCTAGCTGTGCCTTTATGTAGGTAACATCACATTCCCTATGGACTAACAAGTCATCCCCATTTCCTGCTCCTGACAGTGGCTGGGTCACCAGAATTATTTGTAGGTTTTTAAAAACTAGGCCAGTGGTCTCTGGAGGATGATGGTGAGTCTTTTAAAGGTTCTGCTACCTCGTCACCTCCTATTAAGCGTGAGTTTCTGAGATCTGTCACTTTTTTTCTTGCTCTGTGTTCCATATAGCTGGGCTAAATGGTTTTAATGCAACTAATAATTGTTACCACCAGCTTCCACAACTAGGAAGAAACTCCAGCTTGACCTGTCCAGTTTCTGATTCTAAAGGAAGGGAGTTGTAGATCTACAAGCGACTTGATCGTCACAGATGGGCAGAAGCACTGCAGCGAGTATTTGGGAACAGTGGCACTAAAAAGGACAGAAATCAGAATCCTAGTAACTTCTCTGAATGCTTTTAGGTTTTCTTTGGGCCACAGCTGTCATATCTTGAACCTAGAGCAGGTTCTGCATACTGAAGCATGGTCATTGAGAGCAACATCAGTGGCAAAATGCATATCCTCTCTGATTCTTAAAACATTTTTTTTTTCCCCACTAACATACTTGAGATTTACACGTACATTTCAAAAACTCATTCTTGTGGCATTTACCACAAGGGATCTATGCTTTCCAAAGTAAAAACCCAATTCCACCTGAAGTTACGATTCATTTTTACATGAAGTACCCACTGGAATACTGATCTCTGGATGTAGCTTTTCTAGTTATGGAATCTATTCTTTTCCTTTCTGGTAACAGTGTGTAGGATTGTAGGATCTACTTTGATTAGCATTTTTAGCATTTGAACTCTTTAAGAGTACAGGAAATAGAGAAGTAGGAGAGGCCTTTGAGCCCTCTTTCCTTCATGTATCTCTCATGTAGTAGAGTCTGTTGATGCACAATTGCTTCCTTGTAGATGTTAACATGAAGACATAGGCTTGAATCACCAATTCCACAGATTAGCTTCAATTTATCTCATATGAGTATTCTCACTGATTGAGGTTGAATGCTTTAACAGGAGGACCTGAGATAAGTTTTAACATATACTTGTGTTTGCAGGGCTTATAAGTTGTTGCTTTCTTTGTTAGTGCAGTTCAGATGCTTAATGAATAAGGAGGTGGGGCTGACAAATGCAAGTACTCTCTTCTGTGTTTTATATCAGAAATATTTCAGCCTGAAGAGTTTGCTGAAGAGGGTAGGAGATAAAACACATGGCAGTACTAGAGCTTAGCTGAAGAAGGGTAAAAGAGCATGTGGTGAACTGAGCAACAACAATTTTCAGCTCCATTGGTTTTTAAAGGAACACTTGCAGTTCAGTCTCCTTTGGGCAGCATTTTATTCAATCATCACTGCTGGGAAACGCACTAGAGGGATCTCAAGAGACATTTTAGAATGGTTATAGCTCTTCCCAAGCCAAGTCCCTCAGTGCCTGTAAGCTTTTGTTACGAAAACTGAGATGTCAAATAATTCTCCAGAGTGTGTAAGGGCACTTTGTTAAAAGATCAAGAGAAAATTATCTATTCATATAGAAATCTAGGCTAAATGATAAAGATTGTAATCGCATTGATTAAGATTGTGGTCTTTCTTAAAAAAAAAAAAAAAAGAAAAGAAAGAAAGAAAAGAAAAACAAAAGGAAAGACTGATATAATACATACAAAACAGAATGTCTGTTTTGTAACCTACGGTTACAAATATTTTAACTCCTTTTATGGAGCTCATTGACACTGAACTCTCAGTGAAAATCTATGTATAGTTTAAAGATGTATTCAAGACTTTTATTAAAGCTTTGTCCTGACTTTCTCCAAGATAATACTTTAGTTTTTAAATTAGTATTATTAGTGCAAGCAACCTATGTGTGCCAACAGATTTTAACACTGGAATTTTAAGTTCTTAAATTAAGAATTTATTCATTATTAGTTTTAGCTTAGTCAGCAACACTTCGTTAGGGACAAGTCTCTGTATGTAAATATGGAAGTCACAAATTTTTAATGAACTTTTCATCACTGGGGAGAAGTGGCTTACATGACTGAATTGCTAGTTGAGCACACCATTATAACAAGATATACCATTATAACAAGGTATAACAACATTATAGCAGTGTCTGCTAATGTAACTAGAACATTTACTGTGACCATGTAAAACTTCAGCATTCATTAATACAGACCTGTTTCTAAAGTAGCAGATCATCAAAGTAAATGGCCTCCTCTTGAAGAGGATATGAAGATACAATAGTAGGTCATTGCTAGTTATAATCAAATAAAACGATAACTCAGTAGATAAATGTGCTACTCTCTTTAGGGGGAGAAGGGAGAACATCTGTCTTTTACAGTAGAGCTGGGGTAGTTGGAGCCTAAAGAACATCTGTGATTCAGTATAAGCTTATATTCATCTGGCTTAGTTAAAATACAACTTCTGTCAGTGTAAATGAAGTTTTAAAAAATAATAGTTAGCTGATGTCCTCTGAAATCCCACCCTTTGATCCTAATCCATGGAGTGAGTATACAGATCTACAAACAGCGGTTGACTCCAACCACAGATCATCTTCCTGCAGGGTGCTGAGGTGATCTACAACACCCACTGGCCCACGGAGATATTTGGGATCACCTTCCAGCTTGGTATACATAGCCAACTTTGAGAAGGCCATATGGAAACACTGTGCTTTCAGAATTGTGCATTTTCTTTAGTGAGAAGGGGAGGGAGTTAGCCCTAGTCAAGCCCCCTAACAAAAACTATTTCACTGCAAAACCCAAAGATCTGTTACCCAAACTGCGTAACCAAAGTTTTTGTTGTGTTTTTACATTTCCATATGATATCTTTATGACAATCTAGTGACCTTTTTCTCCCTTCTTTCACAGATTGTTCTGGAGTAACAGTTTTGGCTAGAGGCAAGACAAAGAATTAATGAACCATTTTTATAGAGGACTTGCACTTCCCTGTTTTCTGAAAGCTTTGCTCTTCAGAGGCCTTGGTGTTGACACACAGCTTGTTTTTGAAGTGGCTGCCCTTCCACTGCTCCTTATTACTTAAGGCTTCACACCCGTAGGTTGCTAGCTTTAGTCTGATCTGCCTGAAATGGCTTTTTCAATGCAGCTGCACAAGTGCTTCAGGACAGGTGTTGTAGCGAGAGGTTACTCGCTGTGGAGGCCTGGAGGTTCATGCAGGCCAGTGGCAGTGGTACATCAGCAAATCCATAATGCCATATCCTGCAGGTTATCTGTGTCTTCTGACTACCTCCTTTGTAAATAGCATATTGATGGCAGTGACTAGTGTTGAGACCTTGCCAATCAATACGAACATTGAATAAGAGTTAATTGACACAAATAACTGCATCTCTCAGTTTGTGTACAAGAATGACGCCTTCCTGTGCTCTGATCAATATGGCTCCTTGTCAAGCATTGAAATAAAGCTGTTTTCTCTATTTGACAGAGTTTTCCCGGGTGATTTGGAGCTGTCTATTCCACTGTATCTCATCAGAGCAGATTAACTGGAATGTTACATATGAATTGCCTGTCAGGATGATTCCATCAGGCATTTCTTGCTAGTGTTTATCACTGTCATCAGTATTGAGTCAAGACCTTCAGCCTTTGTTTTGTCTCTTGTTCTGTAACCAGAAAATGTAACAGTTTAGCAGGTTCTTATTTGTGCTATGTACTTCCATTAGCTATTTGAAATAGTAATTTGGCACAATTTGTCTAAATCCATTTAATGAACCATTTTTGTAGAGGACCTGCACTTTCCTATTTTCTGAAAGCTTTGCTCTTCAGAGACCTTTTGGATGCCCACATAGCTGTGGTTTCATTGTCAGCTCTGACTTGTCCATAAGTTTGTGCTTGTCCTGAACACCATGGATCACGCTCAGAATTGGCTGTAGCAGGTCATGGGTGACCTCCGCATTTGGCTTGTGCCCTTCCTAGAAGTTAACCAAATGTGTCATGAGGCATAAAATACAGCAGCCCTGCTTTTAAATACCCACATGGTTCTTGATGCACACCTCATTTTCCTCCTCTTATATCTGCACTAGCTTCCACTGAGTAAGTTAGAATTCCAGGTTTCTGTTAATAGTAAAAATCATCACAGGGCAGTTTCTAGTTTCTTAAAAAATGCAGTTGGTTTCTGCAACATTAGCTCTTGCAATAAATCTGGATCTGAAACCAACAGGGAGTTTACTCCACATGTCCCATTTTTGTATAGAGGGAGAGACTTACTGAGAGTTCTGCAACCCTTTCCTTACAGATTGAGATCGGAGAGAACCCTGGAAGTTTGTGGATTGCTCAGATACAGTTATATATGCCATATTGTAATCTAACATATTAAATGTTAATGTTTAAATGTTAACTGAAAATTAAGCAGTCAAAATCTTCAATCTGACTTTAAAATGTTCTGATGTTCCTAAATTACTGTTTTTCAGGTTAACAAACAGAAATATTATTCACAAAATGCCTGAATGGACACTAATTGCTATTGTCTTGTTATCAGCGTAAGTACCTAAAATGTCAAATACTTATAGCTTACAAATATCTTAACTAGCTAATCGAGACAAGACTTAAGATAGAAGTTGGGTAATTAATGGAAATGAAGTAAGTTCTCTTCACAAAGCAGGTGATTGTCCCACTTGCAGCAGCATGTTTACATTCTACAGAATTAAATTTGTTTAAGATTATGATACTACAGTGCCTAAACCCGTCCTTGGCTTTGTTCTATATTCTACAGAATTAAATTCTTTATGAGGGTTTTCCTAAGAGTTTTTTTACTATAAACTCTTTTAGGAAGCCTCTGTACTGAGAGCTGAAGTATAAAAGTTATAGTCATATGTATAAAATAACTTTATATTCTGCAAATGAATGTACATTCCTAAAGTTAAAAAAAAAAAAAAAAACCTTTCCTGTATAATAAAGCAGTTCTATCACAAATTCATATTAAACATTTAACGTTAATTCACCTTTTAGGAAATCACTGGTGGTTTCACACAGTGTCAGGCCCTACCTTTCAGTCGGGTTAAAACCATCAAGCAATCTTTTTACGTCTTTCAGCTTGAATTACAAGATTGCAAAAATCTTATTTCAGAGGCTGTTTATTACCGCACTGCTGCTCCTTCTTTTGGGCTTGCTGGGTCACTGGAGCCTGCAGGATGGAGAAGTGCTTACAGACATGCAGAGGTCAGGAAGTGTTGTGGACCAACCTCATGGCATCCCTAGTACTGCACTTACTTTCTTTGATATTACTTGAGTCTGACACATTGTTCTGGCTTTGCTGTCCCAAGGAAGGCTATACCAGTAGGCATTAGAGTAGGCTTCAGCGAGCCTTACATCTGTGTCACCCAGCCAGATACCGCTCAAATGATTCATTAAATCAGAACATAGAAAGTAACTTTACTTGAATGCCTTGGCATAAATTTTTTATCAACTGTAAGAACAAATCTTTTGTCATTTTTGCTATATATTCCTATGGTTGAATTGGTAATTTGTGAAACAGATCTTATGAATTTTTCAAGTACTTCTTTTGCATTTAATGAAATGGTGACTGTTTTGTTCGTGGGTTAAAATATGTCATTGGTCTCTGCTGCATATGATAAACCCTAAATATTTACATACCTAATAGCTAAAATAAACCTAATAAATCCTAGATATTTACATACCTGATAATTCTTTTACATACCTAATAATTTTTAATACCTTATAATTCTTTTAAGATGTTTTTAAGATGCTATGGAAGTAGCAGGCAGACTTCATATTAGAAGCAATTAGAAGCATAGAACCAAATCTTTTTTTTTTAACCTTTTCTCCCCAAAGCTCAACCCCTAAGCAAGTGAAAGCTAAAAAATTCTCTCTATTTTGTAATCAAATTTACGATACTGTTCTAGCGAAGTCTTGAACAAAACTGACTGCAGCTTATTCTAGTTTCATTGCAACTGGTGATCTGCAAATTTTGAACACCTTCTCTGAGCCCTTTCTTAGGACAGGCTATGCAAGAATGTCAGGAGCAGAGAGGCTGCATCAAGAGCATGAAGGTTTCTTTTGGTTCTTCTCTGTGGAAACATGGGAATGTTGCATCCTTTCAAGAAAGAGCAACACAGACCACTTAACTTTTTAGAAATTCTTACCAAACTTGAAGCAGCTGTGAACTTAAAGATTTAGTGAAATCCTAAAGTGTGTGTAAAAGACCAGAAAATCTATTACAGAAACCTGGCCAAACCCCATGGGAAGCAGGGCAATTTTCACTTCCCGTAGTCTTCCAGGGAACCTGCCGTGTCTTACTAATATTCTTCTTGGAAAAGATTGTACTGTCCGAGTTCTTATGTGGTCTCCCTTTTACATCTGCTGCATCAGGTATCATTACTTAGTGTAGCTAGGTCATTTAGATAGAGAAATTATATGGGCCTTGGTCAATGAGTGAGTCTGTACTAGTAGCTTCTTCCATTGAAGGATGCCAACCTTTTTTGGAAATCTGTCAGCAGGTCTTGACCTGGTTGCAAAAACAGGATGGTCGTTCTAATTCTGATAGTAATGAGTGAAGCAACACCCTGAGAAAGGGTGATCCTTCCTCCTTCCAACTAGATGAAAGATCACATATATTCCAGGCACCCTGGGGAGCAGAAAGTGTAAAAATACGGCCTAAAAGCTGAGCAAGCATGGGATTTCAGGGTATATATCAAACAAAACTACCAAGACCTTGAGTATTTTTGTTTGGCTTGGAGGAGAGGGGAGGGTTTTTTGTTTAGTTGCAACTGTTGGACTTTGCTTGCCCCCCATCTTGTGCCTAGGTGTTGTGGCTCACCACTTCCTTCTCATATATGGCTAGTATGCGCTGATGCAGTATGCAGTGCACTGGAGCACTCTGACTCGTTTTGTGGTCTCTGCGCTCTGCTATGCTGGTAGCCAGCATCGTTATCATCGTTACTGCTGTAGTCAATTCACGTATCATCACAATTTGATGCCACGTATTGTGCTGTCGTAATGCTGTCCTCTCTTCATTAGAGTGAGTGGGGGGTGTGAACTACCTCTTTGTAGGACACACCATGTAAGATGGTCACGCCGCCTAATATTGCAGCTTAAATTAGACCTAGGCTCTGTATGTAGTCTGCTGGTCCTGCAGAAGCTCTTCAAAGCAATTACGTGCTCTTAACTATTGACTGTTAAAGAAACTTGGGCTTCTGATTCATAGCAAGTAAGGTGTCAGAAATTAGGCAATGTAAATATCTTTTTGTAAATATCAAGTGTTGGGAATCCCAGTAGTGGGGCATATCCTCTCTTTTAATGAACAGATGGCTTTATTCAGTCAAATTCTCATATAAAATATGAACAACTAGCCTGAGTCATTATTGAAAATCTAGCCTGAGGCAGTCTTGCCTTTCTGACCAGCACGTTCGACAACAGACTGCAACAAGAGCAATACAGACTTTCCTAGAATACACTTAACAGAGCCCGTGAAGAGAGCATGCATTCATTCCTAAGATAGCACATGTCTCTCTTCAAAATTATCTGTAGATCAAATGCCTTATTTATTTGGTGGTTATAATAACTTCAGTAGTGGCAGATTTCTGCCTCCTCCTGTATTATTCAGTACGTTATCCGAATTGCATGTTATAGTAGTATCTGCTTTGTAATATAAACTAGAATGCAGAAGGTGTATCTTTTCCAGCAAAAAGCTTTATGAGATATTAAATGAACGAGATAAATAGATGCACATGCAGTAGCTGAAGAAGGACTGGAGAAGGCAGTGGGAGGATTGGTTACTGTACAAGCGAGGGCATTTGCTGTTTTTAGTGTATACCCCTGGTACAGTCTAATGGAAAGCTTTCAAGATATTTTCAGGAAATGTCTGCTTTCATTTTAGTTATCTGAGAGCTGGCTGCTTCCAGTGAACTGTGGTCAGCTTCATGCACAGCCTAGGCAGGAGGGTTCCCCCACTAAAAGCTTTGAAGCATTTCAGAATGTTCAGGGATTAGTTTATAAGCATTGGGCTGCAGTATTTAAACACACTCAAAATGACCATGATCGCTAAACAAAAGCCGTCGTTATGTGTGTGCAGCCACTTCAGATAAATGTGTCCTGGGGAGAGGTACTCTAGAGGTTTGCTCTGCCCGCAATAGCCGTCCAGGAGCTGCAGCCTCTGGGTCTGGGTCCGCTCTTCTTTGTGCACCGGAGCATGGCTATGGCTTGGAACTGGAATTTCTGTTTTCAGAGTCATTCAGATGCTTGTGATATTTCTGCTGTGTTCTTGAGCTCTGGAAGCTATCTGATGTACAGATACGTATTGGATATGAATGGGTCTTATAGAGTGACTGCAAAATCACACTTGTACTGAGCAGATCTACTTTCCACTATTGTGGTTCTGTTTAAATGACGTGAATTCTGACTTTCAGTGTCTGAAAGATACTTATTCTTACAAAGAAAACATACATTTGGATGCTTTTTTATTTAGGAAGTGCAATGATGATAAAAAAAGTGAGTGGAATTTCATCTGAAAAAGATAATTTATCTGTAAGGAATGCGTTTTCCATTCTGAAGAAGTGTTTGCAGGTTCAAAAATCCCAAACCTCTTTCTTTTATAAGAGAACTTAAATTTGGCACAATCTTTATTTCTGTCGTTGGATAGAAATAAGAAAAGTGTATTCTTTCTCTTACTCATTGAAGTTTTCATTTGGCATGCATGAACTCAGATAGGTTTTCTGTTAAGCAGTTTGTGCTTATCAGCACTTTCTAAGCGTGCTCTGGCTGCCTATTTGGCATATTCTGCAGGAAATCACTATTACTTTGCTTTCTACTGGTATGTCCCAGGATTATGTGGGAAATATATACAGCACAGTAATTTGAGGGATTGGCAGTGGTGGAATAAATGAGGGACAACTTCCAAGTTCAGTATCTTCATTTACCATTCATAAAATGGAGAGATGATGGAGGAAGAAGTGTTAGCAGTTAGAAAGAAAATGTTTCTCTTCATAGGCAATTTTACCATTGTGACTCTTTCTTTTTTGGGAGCTGTTTCTCAGTGGAGTTCATGTGGTGTTGAACTTGCCCCATTTACATGCTGATCAAGGGAATGGAAAAAATGCTTAGCCTTATTAGATGTTTTTTAAACAGCTTTCTATTTCTAGTAAAGGTATTTATTAGGCAGATTTCTCTGTCATGTTTTGCCTCCCTCCATAATTGCTGCATACGGGTTTACTTATGGGAAGTCGTGTCCTAGCCCAGAATTGGTTCTGCTTCTGTATGGTCACTTGTAATGTAGATTATTCTGAACTGATGCTGCAATTAAGACACTGTAAATAGTAGAGCACTGTTAACAGCCGCCTTAATTTTAAAGGTATTTTATCTACTGAGCAAACTAACTGTAATTTTGCACCTGAATTCTGAAGCTCTAGCCTTATGAAAATAACTTCCATATTAATAATTAATATATTAAATGCAAACATTTTTTTATCATGAAACATAACCCATCTGCTAAAAGAAAAACATGACTGTGACACAACAAATGTAT